AACAACTTAATGGTTAGGACACAGACCTGTGGGTTACAGATGCTAATGCTAATGCTAATGTTATGAAAACAACTTAATGGTTAGGACACAGACCTGTGGTTACAGATGCTAATGCTAATGAGGGATCGGACTTTAAAAAAAAAAAAACTGGATCTGGAGTTTGGATCTGAGCCGTTTGCTGTTGAGCAAGCTCTGTCTGCAGCCTGTAGGAGCCTCGGCTGGATATCCAACTCCTCCCAAATCCAGGTCGGCCATTTTGATTAGGTCATGTGACTAGCAGCTTTCTCAGGTGGAAACAAAACTTTACTGTCTATACGAAATCAGAAGATAAACAATGTCCTAACCCTAACCCTGACCCTGACCCTAACCCTAACCCTAACCATAACCCTGACCCTAACCCTGACCCTCCACCCTTCATAATTGTGAGAAATAAATATTTTTTGGTTAAATTTGTTTGGACTTATTGTACAAACCTATTTAACATCCACTATTTTAACATAATATTATGGATAGAGTTTAATTCAGTGTTTGCAAGATTCATTTCTCTAATCTTAAGTTAATGTCTATATTGCCATGAAGCAATTACCATTTTCTTGCCTGGGATCTTCCTATTGGGGACCTAATCAAAATGGCCGACTTGGATGTGGGTGGGTTGGATCTCCATCCTTGTTCCTGTTGGTTACTCACACTTCTCTCTCCTGGAGTCCTCCCTGATGACATCTCTAACGGCCATGAGCAGCTCCTTATCCTGGGAGGTCACCTGGAGGAGAGTCACGGCTTTAGAGACCGCTAACCCTAACCCTAACCCTAACCCTAACCCTAACCCTAACCCAGTGCTTCTCAAATGTGACACTGTGGAACAGGCTTTTTTTTTTTGTCCGTACTAGTATAAAGTGTAATTGCGCATCCACTCCAGTAGGGGGCAGTGGCGCTAACATCGTTACTTCAGTTCAACATTTTACGACTTAAAGACGACAGGTTAGCCTTCTGTCTGTAGCCTCCATTATCCATTATCTTTTCTTTTGTTGTTTCTTGTGTTTAATGTGGACAATTTACCAAAATAAAGTGATTGATTGATTCATCCAACACAACAATCCCCAACATGAAAAAGTTTTTAACAGATGAAAAGAAAAGCGGAGAGAGACAAAGATAATGAGACAAAAGAAAGTCACCCGAAAGCTAAGTGTTTTATACATTGTGCTACTGAGTTAATGTTGCTTAACTAAATACAAATTACTTATTATTTATGTTGTTCTTGTAGTTTATTAGTTATTATAATTATTAGATATTATTTATTGATTTGATTTAATTTTGCAATGGTGCAATTAGTTGGTCAAACATGTTTACAGTTTAAACAAGGACTTATTTATTTTTCATTTCAGGCATTGATGCACTTAAAATCTTTTCTGTCGCAGACTTAAAACACGATTTAATTAAGTTATTCTTTGTAGGTTTTACCATATGTCTTTCTTTTTTCCTTTTCCTTAATGTTAACTCATTCGCTGCCAAAGACGTCTATAGAGGTCTTTTATGTTTTTAACGAGAGTGTCTGGGGGACGATCTGCTAAAGCTTGTCCGTAAATATGGGCTTCTAGACAGAGTATGTAGTAACAAATTGAGCCTCTAGGGGGCAGTGCCACTTTTGATGGGAGATGAGCATAGACTGTAGGCAAATAAGAAAAAGGGAACGGTTCTATGAGAGAACATGTCGCCGGTGAGACGCAAGTCCAGGAAGAACGGAATAAGGTAGAAACACATTTTTTTTCCTGATGAAAGAAGAGAGTCTACTCTTTCTTTTGGTGTGTTCGGTGTTTACATAGTCATAGCACAAACTATTCTGTGGCTCTAGAAAAATCAGTCAAAATGCTCAAAAAACTCTGGCAGTATGGGACTCTGTTCTGAAAATTGCTGCCAGTCAATGAGTTAATAAGGATAAAATATCATGTAGAGATGGAGAGTCAAGGTGGGGAGTGGGGGGGGCGCGACAGAAAATAATTGAGAAGCACTGCCCTAACCCTAACCCTAACCCTAACCCCGGCCTTACGTGGTACAGCTCGTCCTGGGACAGGACCCGTCTGTAGACCAGCCCCTCGTCCATCAGGATCTGCAGGACCTCCTTCAGAAGCTGACGTAGCTGCTGCCCCCCCGATGGCCCGGCAACCGGCTCCTGGGGGGGTTAAATTAAATATACAGGACTGTCTCAGAAAATTAGAATATTGTGATAAAGTTCTTTATTTTCTGTAATGCAATTAAAAATCATGAAATGTCATACATTCTGGATTCATTACAAATCAACTGAAATATCTTGAATTGAATATACAGGACTGTCTCAGAAAATGTCTCAGAAAATTAGAATATTGTGATAAAGTTCTTTATTTTCTGTAATGCAACTAAAAATCATGAAATGTCATACATTCTGGATTTATTACAAATCAACTGAAATATCGCAAGCCTTTTATTGTTTTAATATCGCTGATTATGGCTTACAGCTTAAGAAACCCACATATCCTATCTCAAAATATTAGAATATCGCATTTTTTAGTTTTCTTCAGCTGTACGCCATAATCAGCGATATTAAAACAATAAAAGGCTTGTGATATTTCAGTTGATTTGTAATGAATCCAGAATGCAGACTTGATTAATGTTGGTGTGTTATTTTTAGCTATTAGCCGCAGCTAGCAATTCAAGCTAACGTCATGTTGATGACTATAAACAACGTAAAGAAATAAATCAGAGAGAAGGGGGCAGCTTTAAGGCTTCACCCTGCTTCCTCCATCTCTCTGGACCCGGAAAGACGCCGTTTCCAGCTCCAGTCTGGCCCAGGTTACCTGGTCTGGTTACCTGGTCTGGTTACCTGGTCTGGTTACCTGGTCTGGTTACCTGGTCTGGTCACCTGGTCTGGTCACCTGGTCTGGTCACCTGGTCTGGTTACCTGGTCTGGTTACCTGGTCTGGTTACCTGGTCTGGTTACCTGGTCTGGTTACCTGGTCTGGTTACCTGGTCT